CCGGGCCAGCCCCCGGGTGCTGCCGCCCTCCAGCTCCAGCTCCAGCGCGGTCACGCGCGGCTCCTCGTCCACCTTCTGCAGGATGGCGCGGAAGTTGCGCAGCTCCTGCGGGGACAGCACCTCCAGGGTCTCCTGCACGCGGCTCTGCATCTCCTCCCAGGTCTGCGTGGTCTCCCCGTTGGTCTGGGGGCCGTCGGGCCCCGAGAGACCGCCGCCTTCGAGGCTCCCCTCCATCTTCGCCCAACCGATCTGAAGCCCCCGGAGGCCGGGCCAATCCGAGGAGCGCTGCGCCCCGCGCGCCGCACACGCCTCCCGTCTCTCCTCTTTGTTTTGAAAAAAACGGGGCGGTTCCGCTTGAATTGCTGCTGCCGGGCCTATGGCCGCTCCCGCCTTCCCTCCAGCCCCGCCCCCGCCGGAGCCACGCCCCTCGCCCCAGCTCCCCTCTTCCTCCCACGCGCTTCCCCCTCATCCCCCAACGAGCTCTGACTTAACCCTTGGAGCTCAGGTTGCGGGAGCTGAAGGAGGAATCGGGCCTGCAGGGCTCCTCCGTGGTCCTCTGCCTCGGGCTGCTGCGCGTTAGGGCCAATCACCCCAAAGCGCAGCAGCCCAAGCTCTTCGCGCCCAGGCCACCACCTAGGCTGCAGATATTAGAATCTCTGGGGGGCAGCTCTCCAGATGACTCCAGTGGTTATCCAAGTTGGAGAACCACGGACCTTACACTCCAGGGTGTTTATCAGCTCCCTAGCCAGCGGTTCCCAAGGAGCCAGAACTTGGAAGCTGAAACACGTAGAGGCTGCTGCATTGAACCAACTTTTGGGGGAGACAGCCTGGGGACAAAAAGCTGAGATTTGAGAATTTGGTATCAGCAAGAAGTCAGAAGTGCACACTCTCAGCCTGTGGGATGAAACAAGACTGGCCATTATGTTGCTAATTGTTGAAGCCGGATGAGTATGCGGGGCTGAGGTTTGCAGAATCCATTTTTCCAGTCTCTCTACTTTAGTATATGTTTAAAATATCCATCATCAAACTTAAACAACAATTTTAAAAAACCTTGGTGAGCAGATCTCAGTTTCACAATCCCCAGAGTCTTTGTTGCTAGGTTCCCTGGCTTGATTAGACCCATAGGGGGAGACAGTGACCCTAATCACCGTTTGCCCCCACAAATGACTTACCCTTTTGAGCAGCTGGTGAAAGGATCTCAGGACCTTATTTGAATCCTGATTCAAATAAACCCTATTGTAAACATTTTTGAGGCAGTTAGAGTGCTGAAGGAGGAACGCAGGAGGCCCAAAGTGGTAAAGAACTATACATTTATTGTTACATCTATGAACAGAAGGGCTGAGACCAAAATGGCATCAGCCGGGCAGAGTAGGCGGAGTGGAATATTTATGCCTCTTTGTCAAGGTCAGTCCGAGTAAGGGGTGGGACCAAGTGCAGGTGGGGACCGGGTGTAGGGGTCCATTGGAAACTGGGTGAGGTGGGTTACTGGAAACCAATCGTGAGAATAACAGGAAAATCGCAAGGAGGAGCAAGAGCCCCAGGCAGGGCTTAATGGACTTGTAAGCAAGTGCGCAACAGAGACCAGAGAAATGGGAATATAGGCTGGGTATTGGAGGATATACCAAAAATACTCTAACTTTTTCCAAGGGGAATAATAAACATTGCAGTCATGTAAAAAAAAAAAAAAAAAAAAACCCAAACTGTCCGGGTTTTTGATAAGCTCGTTGAATTTGGAAAGGTGAAGGTGTGATGTCTGGGATCTGCTTTTTAACACCTC